CTGATTTGTCATGAGCATCAGCCACTAATTCATGGTCCTGCCATTTGGCCTGTCTTCATCCCCTCAGATCTTCATGAAATGCATGGTAGTTGTGGCAGTGTTACTATCCAAATGACACATGCAAGTGTTCCTATACCTGGACTACTAGTTGATCAAAGGCTGCTCAAGATATAATGTGGAGATGCAAATCCAGTTGGTCAGAGCAACTATCAACAGCTTAGGCCTTCTTCTGAATGAGGCAAAATCTGTTCTATCCCATGTTCAGAGGACAGAGTTTTTTAAGAGTGGTCTTAAATTTGATCCAAGCCATGGCTTATCTACCAAAGTCCAGATATCAGGCCTTGAGCAACATCACCACAACCTCTCACTGTTCCCCACCGCGACAGCAAAGAACAGCTTCAAACTTCTCGGACTCATGGCCACTTGCACCTACATAGTTCAGTATGCCAGGCACAAGCTATGACGGACCCCTTCCCCCATGCTTTAAGAAATGGATTTATGGACACAAATATGCATAACCCGAAGATGCTTGTAACAAATTGCCTCATATAACCTATCAATCTTAATGTCTTAATCCACTGGGTCTGTATATCTTACTTTGGTGTATCTATCATTCTTGTGTGTAAAGTTAGATATATGGCACATGGAATGGTTTATGGTTTTTAAATGCACAAAGGAAAGCCATCAAGGATGCCTCGATATCTGGGCAATCATATATAAGCAGCCCCTTTGGTCCTTTAAGTCTTAGCAGTGGTTGGTCCTAGGAAGTCATGTGACCTCCCTAACTGGTAGGGACTGGCCAGGTAACTTCCCATGTAAAAAAGCATGCCAGACCTTTTACTCACTCATAGTGGGACACTGTGTATCTGTAATGACAGACAATACAATGACAATGTTCTACATCAACAAACAGGAGTGCTCATTCCTCACTCCTGCGCAGATAAGCCCTTCTCCTATGAGCCTTCTGTATAGACTATTCAGTGCACTGATAGAATCTTACTTAGAACAAGCTAGCGGACCATTACATCAGGTCTTTCCACAAACATAATCCAGATGTGGCCAATTTGTTCTTCCAAAGGTGGGACCCTTCCCAAGTGGACTTATGTGCCACATATCACAATAAGAAGTATCACCTGTTTTGCTCATTTCAGAATCACAGTCTGAGATACTATGGCAATTCATGCCTTGTATGGTGGAGTCACTTTCTCTACAACTTCCCACCAATTACAGTGGTTCACAGAACACTCCTAAAAATCAAGAGGGACTGAGCACAGGTCATAGTAATAGCGCTAGCCTGGCTTCACAGCTTTAGTACACATTTCTCCTGGACTTGTCACTGGAAGTGCCAATAGCACTTCCTCTTTACCCAGGCTTGACGCAAGACTAAGGCCATTTATCATCCAAACCTTGAATCCTTACACTTCACAGCTTCGAAGATCCATGGCTGAATCCTAGCAGATCTAGGGAAGTGATTATTCCCCTTTATTTAGCACTGGTCAGGTCACATCTGGAGTGTTGTGTCCAGTTCTGGGACTTCTACTACAGAAAGGACGTGGACATATTGGAGAGAGTCTAGCAGAGGGCAGCAAAAATGTTTGGGGGCTGGGGTACATGACTTATGAGGAGAGACTGAGGCATTTGGGTTTATTTAGTCTACAAAAATGAAGTGGGGATGTTGATATCAGCCTTCAACTACCTGAAAGGGGTGGGGAGGAGTTCCAAAGAGGATGGAGAAAGGCTGTTATCAATGGTGACAGATGGCAGAACGAGGAGGAATAGTCTCAAATTGTAGTGGGGTAGGTCTAGGTTGGATATTAGGCAAAGCTATTTCACTGGGAGGGTGGTGAAGCACTAAAATGGGTTACTTAGGGAGGTGGTGGAATCTCCAACCCTAGAGGTTTTTAAGGTCAGGCTTGCCAAAGCCCTGGTGGGATGATTTAGTTGGGATTGGCACTACTTTTATCAGGAGATTGGGCTCAATGGCCTCCTGAGGTCTCTTTCAACCTGTCCAACACGTTATCAATAAACTACAACCTATACTGGAACAGGATACTAAACTCCGAGAGGCTCTGGGAGACAGACCCATAAAAAGGTTTTCTGTTTGGACGTCACAGCTTGATTCGTCTTCTGTATTAGCACTGCTCCCACATGTCCATGACTATTTCCTTCACTTCAAGCTCCAAAGTCTCTCACATTCACCCATAAGACTCAGAGGGTATGTCTACACTTGCACCCTCTTTCGAAGGAGGAGTGCAAATGTAGAGAATTAAAATTGCAAATGAAGCAAGGATTTAAATAGCCTGCGCTTCATTTGCATAATTGCCGACTGATGCTTTTCCACAATAGCGCTATTTCAGGACATCAAACTTGGTCCACGCGGGGTTATTTCGTGAGAGAACCCTTCCCTCAAAATAACTCTTACTCCTCAAAAAGTGAGGTTTAAGGGTTATTTTGAGGGAAAGGTTTTCTCTCAAAATAAACCCGCGGGGACTGAGTTTGATGTCCCTAAATAGCGCTATTGCAGAAAAGCGGCAGTTCGCAATTATGCAAATGAAGCATGGGATATTTAAATCCCCACCTCATTTGCAATTTCGATTTGCTACATTTGTATCCCTCCCTCAAAAGAGGGTGCTAGTGTAGACATACCCAGAGAGTGTTAGAATTCAGGGCTGTAATGCAAGAGCCCCCCTTACACTGTGTTCTTTAAAGATAAGATGCAGCTAAGGTTTCACTCTGAGTTCCTTCCAAAGATGGTTTCTCAGTTCCATATCAATCAGGACATATTCTTCTGGTGTTTTATCCTAAGTCATACTCCAGGATTTGGGAACAAAGACTCCCTAGACATACTCAGGGCATTGGCTTTCTGCAATGAGAGGACAAGGCTGTTTAGGAAGTTTGCACAGTTATTTGTAGCTGTAGCAGATAGGAGGAAAAGCCACCCTGTGTCACCGCAGTGGATCTCCTCCTGGATAGTCTCCTGAATCTGTGAATGCTACAACCTTGCATGAGTTCCTGCACTGGCAATTACCGCATTGTATTAGAGCACAGGTCTCATACACAGTGTTGCTTGCTCACGTCCCAATGCATCAATGCATGAGATATGTAGGGTGGCGATATGGTCTTCCGTCCACATGTTCTCTGCCCATTATGCAATCACCAAGTAGGCCAGAGACAATAAAGTCTTCATCAGGGCAGTGCTCTAATCAGCTCGTGGCTCCGACCCCACCTCCTACTGGTTAGGCTTGTGAGTCACCTTATTGGAATGCATATGAACAAGCACGTGAAAAAGAAAAATGTTTGCTCATCTTTCATAACTGTTCTTCGAGATGTATTGTTCATATTCATTCCAATACCTACCCTTCTTCCCCTCTGTTGGAGTAGCTGGTACACCTGCTTGGAATGGATATGAACAACACATCTCCAAAAACAGTTATGAAAGGTGAGTAACCATTTTTATAGTTTAAATATTTTGATAAAAATAAAATCTACTAATTATATAGTTTTATAAACTTGAAATAAACATTTTCTAAATTAATTTTTAAATTAAACTTCAGTGTAACTCAATGTCTGCATTTTATTTATATTCATAATTGCATAGTGTAACACTTAAAAAAAATCCAGTGAGATTCCAATTCAACACTAGCTTGTGCTCAAATACAATGAATATCACAGACTAAATCACAGCCAATCAACAATTAATAAAAAGCACAAACTTTAAGTAGAAAATCAATTACATCCATAAACAAACACCCAACCAAAACTACTTTAACTCTACCCTCATGTGGTCATGCAAAAGTAAATAAATGAAAAGGCAAACGATTTTCTTCATTTGTAGCAATGGGTTTGAAATTATTGGTGATCCAAGCATACAAGAAAATTTTACTCTTTTTTTATTCAGATACTCTGCAATTCTAGCCTTGCACAAAGACAAACTTTAATGAAAAATAGTATGCTGAAAACCATAATTAAAATACAAAATTAAAGATAACTTTGGTAATAGAATAAGAGGAGTATCTTTTATCCCTTAGAACTCTTGTTATATTAAATAATAACATATGTGGTCATGAATATCATTAATTGTGTGAATCAATGGTTTTTTAAAAAAGGCTGTAGATAACAGATGGGGAAAAATAAAATTATAAAATAATATCCTTCTAGAGCCAGAGTTGTAAATGTTTTGGTGGGCCATTTGCTGTGGATGGTATACATGAATAATAAACGGGATCAGATGAAGAACTGCAATGGCTGTATAGTGTGTTTGATGTCACTGGATTTCACAAAGGTTTTTTTCCATGTTTGGATAGATTGTACATGCTGTATCTTAACTGTTACACATATGGTGTTTTTGTTTGGAATTTTATATATGACCTCACAATTATTAAGTAGAGCAAATATAGTGGAAAAGGAGCATTAAGTTACATGAGTGTTTTCATTGTATCATGTTTCAGAGGAGTAGCTATATTAATCTGTTTCTGCAAAAACATCAAGGAGTCCTGTGGTACATTATATTTATTTGGGCATAAGCTTTTATGGGTTGGAGCATCTGACAAAGTGGGCTCCATCCCAGAAAGCTAATGCCCAAATAAATTTTTAAGTTTTTTAGGTGCCACAGGACTCCTCATCGTTTTCATTGTAGCATGGATATTAGTTTCCTCAATTTTGTGTTTTGATATGCTAGATTAATTTAAAATAATTAAGTTTTAAATTAATTAAGTTGGTCTCTAAACTGAGACTGAACAAAAGCTCATCTCTAACCATACAATGCATTCAAAAAGAATCCTGATTAAAATATCTATGCTTTACATTATGGCCTCCACTTGAAAGGAGGAGTATTTCTCATTATTTTCTAAGAATCTGAAAGCATCTAATAACACTCCTTTTATTTTTGGTGCTCTGATAATTACTTTGTAGAGGACAAAGAGCTGTCTGAGAGTGTAGACACTCCTTAATAAGCATTTTTTTTCATATTGTAGACTTGTTAAAACAACAGTTCTTCTTACCTGATGGCAGGTTTTAGGTAAAATACAGGGTGCAAAATAAGGTTGTAGTTGTTGACAATCTTGTACACTTCCATGTACAAGAATAACATCATCCATGGTTCCATCATAAATATCACATTTGCTGTGGGTTGGTACATCCATCACATAAACATTAGGAAACTTTGTACACATCTTGTATGACCAATCCTGCAATTAGAAGTCATGTAATATGTATTTTTCCATACAAAACATAACAAAAAGCCTTGTACTGTTCATTTTTGAAACATTTGATTTGTTCAAAATAAATTATATTCCATAAAATGAAAATCAAAATAGCCAAAATACATTACAGATGTTGCTATATTCACCATAAATAGTTTTGAGAATGGAATCCTATCTGATAATCAGTTTGTCAGTGAAACTAGTTCACAGAAAAATAGAGAGTCTACTGAAACCTAAGGAAAAGTTGTCAACACGGACACAATAATTTTCCTGCTGTTCAGTTTGAAAGTTTTACTTTTTCCTTCATACCTTGAAACTTGCAAAGTTGGTCTGGAAGAAGACATAATTTAGAGCTAAAGGTTTTGATTCTAGCCAGCCTTGCTGCAATTTATCAGGCAGAGAATTTCAAAGGTATTTAGGCTCCTAATTACCACATGCATATCAGTGCTAGCTTTACCAGATGCAGTGGGACCAGGGCTATAAAAAAATGCAAACAGTAGCATGCAGAGGAAGCTAACCTCCTCATGTACATTTTCTTAAATAAAAGCAGATAATGTGGCATAGCAAAAATGGTTCCAATATGGCTATGTAAATATCCAGAACTTCACATTTCTAGCTGAACTATCTAAATATATGGCAGTCTTACCAACCTCCATGGTTCTTCATTCCTACAGAGTTCAATCCCTACTTACAGAAAGCCAGAATATAGCCTCCCTCACTAAAAGAGGGTTACCTACCTTCCATAACTGTGCTTTGACATGTGCGTGCATGATCACTGGAAGACTTTTCCCTAGTGGTACCCATTAGGTCAAATGTGGAGTCCTCTGGAGTGGTGCTTTTATGGTAGTTTGCAAAGGTCCCTGCTGACTCAACACCTGCTCAATTCCTTCTTGCCAAAATATTCTAACAGAGGGGAGGCAGGTAGGATTTGGATGGACACAAGCAACACATCGAACAATAGTTATAAAAGGTGGGTAATTTTTTTTATTTCAAGGCTGAATTTGTCCAACTTCAACTCTTAACCATTGGATTCTATGTTGTATCTTTGTCAGCAAGGCTGAAAATCCCCTCACTCTCCGATATCTTTTCCATATGTAAGTATCCGTATACAATGATCAAATCACTCTTAACCTACTGTTTGATAAGATGAGAAAGTTACACTCTCTAAACTTCATATTATAAAAAAAACCTTCATGTAAATGCTCTTTATGATGTGTTATTCATATCTACCCTGGTTAGTGTCCATGCACTATGTGCACAGCTTTCAGAAGTTTTTTCCTAGTAGCTATCTGTTGGGCTGGAAGTGGGAGTCTCTGGAGTCATGCATTATATATAACTCTGTCAGCCCGACCCTCCCTCAGTTCCTTCTTGCTGTCTACTCAGACAGATGGAAAGGAGGGTGGGTAAGGAATAGATATAAGCAACACATGTCAAAGAACAACAATTAAAAGGTGAGTAACCATTTTTCCTTCTTTCAGTGTTTGTTCCTACCAATTTCAGTTAGGTGACTTCCAAACCTTATGTAGATGATGGGATTATAATCTGGAAATGCAGATTGTAGTGCTGCTCATCTATGCATTCTCAGTGGCCTGATAAACTATGGCATAGTGCGAGGTAAATGTGTGAAGAGAGGACCATGTTGCCATCCTGCAGAACTTCATGAGAGGCACCTGAGCCCAGAATGCAGCAGATGAGGCATGTGCTCTTGTAAAGTAACCTGTGATGTTAAGTGGAATAATCTTGGCAAAGGAATAGCAGGTCCGAATACAAACAGTGATCCAAGAGGAGATGTGTTGCATGGAAACTGGGAGCCCTTTCATCCTTTCTGCAACCACCACAAACAAGTGTGTGGATCATCTATATAATTTGTGTAACAAATATAAAACTCTTTGCTCATTGGTCAAGCTGTAGCCAGAGGGAGGAGCTATCCATCAGGAAGGCCAGAGCTTTATAAGCCCTGTGAGGAAGTGACCAGGGCAATTGCTAACAGGAAGGAGTGCGCTTAGAGGGCGCTAGTTACGTCTGACTTTCTTTAAAGGTAAAACTTTTATAATCTATATCCCAAACATTTAAATAAAAACCACGTGTATAATCAAATTTATTCATAGGAGAAAATGCAGACAGAAGCCCAGCAGCAGAGTGGGGGCTATCCTGTTTATTGTGTCGAGTGTAACATGTATGATTACCTGCCTTGTGGGTGAGTGGCATATGGGTGCACTCAGTGCAAGGAGCTCCTGACCCTCAGAGACTGAGTTTGGGCTTTGGAGGCCAGGGTGGCTAAACTGGAGGAGCTAACGGAGGCAGAGAGGTATGTTCATGAGGCTTTCCGCGACACTGTAGTACCGTCCCGCCTCCAGTCTCACAGACCCAGCCCTGTTAAGGAGGATGAAAGGCTCAGGGGAAGAGAGCATTCAATGGGAGCAGAGGGAAACCATCCCATAGTTGGGACCCTCCTTCCAAAGGATGTTATGGTATCCTCTCGCACTGCGGATACCTCTCTGCGGGAGGGAACGTCAGTTGTTAGGAAGAGGCAGGTGTTAGTAGTGGGTGATTCGATCGTTAGAAAAGAAACATAGATAGTTGGGTTTGTGAAGTCTAAATAATAAGATGGGTGAACTAGAGTATCTCGTATTAAAGGAGATTGATATAATAGGCATCACAGAAACCTGGTAGAACGAGGACAATCAGTGGGACACAATCATACCGGGATATAAAATATATCAGAAGGGCAGAATAGGTCATGCGGGTGGAGGGGTGGCACTATATGTGAAAGATAATCTAGAATCAATGAAGTAAAAATCTTAAATGAATCATCATGTTCCATAGAATCACTATGGATGCTATAATAAGAATATAACTGTAGGGATCTATTATCGACAACCTGACCAGAACAGTGATAGTGAAGTTGAAATGCTAAGGGAGATTAGAGAGGCTATCAAAATAAAAAACTCAATAATGGGGGATTTCAATTACACTGCTCTACAGCCAAAATGTTTCTGAAATAAATGTAGTCAAACTTTACTAATTCTGGGTCACTGAGAACAAAAATGATGCTTAAAATTGTTGATTGGCTCTAGTTTTCAAGATATGCTATTGGGTCAGTATATATGACCCTTGACTTGCGAATGGCGGAGGATAAGTGAGTTATAAAGGGAAGGGATCTCAATTTAAACCAGAAATGACTAAAATACATCTTTGACTGGATCTATGAATAAATCTATTACTGGGTTTGGACAGTATTTGCTTTTTAGGCAAAACAATGAATGATGCGATCTGAAGCTGGTATTGCGTCATACATGATATGAATTGCATCATGTTATTCCTAGAAGTCATGGCTGTTTTGCTGCATAATGTCAATGTTTTGCCATCAATTCCAGTTGGTCATGCAGTCCATATGAAGGAAACCTATGACAACATGAAACAACTTTTGAGGTGCATAAACTATGACCAACATCAGTGGCAGGGGTGTGGGGGGTTGTAGGTTGTTGCTCTCTTGCTTGGTCTGCAGACTGGAGGTGCATAAACTATGACCAACATCAGTGGCAGGTTTGTGGCGATTTGAAGGTTGTTGGTTTCTTGCTTGGTCTGCAGACTGGATACACAGACTGTTTTCTCTGCGAATGGGATAGTCGTGCAAGAGATTCCCACTACATCAAGATAGATTGTTCACTCCGACAGTCATTGGAGCCTGGGAGGAAAAGTGTTCAGCATCCACCACTTGTTGAATCAAGGAAGATTTTGTTACCACCCTTACACATCAAGCTGGGTCTGATGAAGAACTTTGCCAAGGCCATGGACAAAACGCAAGCAGCTTTCAAGTACCTCCGTGGAAAATTTTCAAGGTTAAGCGAATCTAAGATAAAGGAAGGTGTCTTTGTTGGTCCTCTCATTCGTGAACTTCTTCGAGATGATGCATTTGACCATGCACTGCGTGGCAAGGAAAAGACGGCATGGAAAGCTTTCCAGTTAGTGGCAATACATTTTCTCGGAAACAACAAGGCAGACAACTACAGGTTCTTGGTGTGAAGCCTAGGACTATAAAAGAGTTTAAAAAAGAGCTAGATAAATACATAGAGGTTAGGTCCATAAAAGGCTATTAGTCAGGAGGTAAGGAATGGTGCCATGGCCTCTGTTTGTCAAAGGCTGGAGAAGGATGGCAGGAGACAAATTGCTTGATCATTGTCTTTGGTCCACCCTCTTTGGAGCACCTGGTTACTGGCCACTGTCGGCAGACAGGATACTGGGCTAGATGGACCTTTGGTCTGACCCAGTATGGCCATTCTTATGTTCATATAAGTGCCTGTCTGACGTCCAGGATACATAGGCTTTGTTCACAGGGGATAAGGTGAGGTTTTTGAGTGGAAAACTGGTAAAAAGATGTTCTGTTTTGCGTGAAAGTGAGAACCCATTTTGGGCTTAGTTATGGAAACTCCAAGCCGTACGGTGGAGGGACTGTAGGTCTGGATCAGTGTTTCTCAACTTTTTTTTATAAAGTACCCCTTTGTTTAAAAAAAAATGAAGTACCCCAGTACCTAAAATTTTCAACACGCTAAATTTTTTTCTACCATTGCAACACGTTTGTTTAACAACTTAATCGTAACTGGTTGGTTGGAAAAAAATGCTTATAAGCAATAAACTTGCCATCGTACTTATGATTGTGTGGAAAGGATAAATAAAAAAAAATAGATGAACATAAAATAAGTCCAATTTTTTTATTCATACATATACATACATATGTATATAGTTTTATACAAACAGCAATGAACAATGATCAATAAAATTACAAGAAAACTCATAATTAATGTAATGCAAAATTTGAGCTTGTTTGGATCAAATCAAATTTTCAAACCTAGATTTCAAACTGCCAAGGGCCACAATTAAATCATTTTCTGAAGACATACGATTTTCTTAATTTAGTTTTTAATTCAGTCATAGCCGAAAAACTTGCCTCACATAAATAGGTTGATGCGAATGGTAGGAGTTCTGAGAGAGCCACGTTACTCAGTTGTTTATATTCACCTTTCATTTTCTGCCAGAATATGGGAATGTCGCTAAGTCCCATGTCTTGAATCTTTAGTATATGAGTAACAGAAAGCTCCAAAAAGTTGCTCCTTCATTTTTTCTGAAATCCCTGCTTTCTCAATAGCATTGTCATTAAACGGATTCAAAATCCAAAGCTTCTGCCTATGTTCAGCTTCATCAAAGCTCAGAAAATATTGTTAAAAAATTACTTCCAAATTTGTTAAATGTTCCTTTATTGATGTTTTGACATGTTCATCTAAAATAATTTCATTTTCCACACAAAATTCCGAAAGATATTGAAATAACATAAAATTTCAAGATAAAGCATTATTTTTCCAGAATGCTAATTTTTTCTTGAATGCTTGTATTTTATCTTGCAAGATTAAGATATTTGTATTAAAACCTTGTAACTGTAGGTTCAAGTTATTGATTTTATCAAATATGTCAGAAAGGTAGGCTAATCTGTAAATCCATAATTCGTCTTGAATATTTTATACTAACTCGGATCTGTTTTCTGTGAGAAAAACTGAAACTTCAGCCTTTAGCTCAAATAGACGGTTGAAAAATCTTCCATATGACAACCATCGAATATTGGAATGAAGTAATAAAGTAAAATGTTCAGGCCCCATATCACAGCACAGCCACTGAAAAACGTGAATTTAGAGCCAGCGAATTTATGAGGTTAACTGTCTTCACTGCAATTTCTAGCACAGTTTAAATCTTTATTCAACTGTTTTGAAGCCAATGCTTCTCTGTGAATAGATACAATGAGTCTACTTTATTGAAGTGTTTATAGTTTTTAATCGAGCAATAGGACCATTTTGTCGACCTACCATTGCTGCTGCTCCGTCTATACACACAGATATGCACCACTCCCATGATAATCCATGTTTCAAAATCTATTCATTTAAGTTAAAAATTTCTTCCCCGTTATTTTAATGTTGAATTCTTTACAGCAGTATATTTGCTCACTTATTCCTTTTTCATCTTCATCGTCAATGTATCTGACAAACACCATTAATTGTGTGCAGTTGGAAATATCTGTTGATTCATCAAGTTGTAAAGTGAACTGTTTCTTCTGAATAATTTTTTCAGTAATTTGTTTTATGTCTTCTGCCACCTTGTCAATTCTTCTTCTTATTGTATTGTTCGAGTGTGGGATATTTTAAATTTTAACGACTTCTTTTTCACTAAACATAATTTCAGCTATTCTGTTAGAAGCTGGATTAACAAGCTTCTCAGCAATGGTATGTGGTTTCTTTGTTTTTGCTATCATTTCTGCCCATATGGGGCATCAGCTGGCTAGCCCCTGTCCTGCCGTCCACTCCTGGGACCCAGGCAGGGGGCGCTCCCACCATCACGCATTAAGGAGCAAGTGGCCCTCCAACGCCAGGCTCGCCGCATGGGGCTGTGCGCTCCCATCCCAGCCCAGTGCCACCCTACCATGGCGCTCGGGGGCAACTGTCCCTCCCTGACCTTCCTGGCAAGGACACTGCTGCAGAGCCAGGCACCCCCAGCCCTCCCCAACCTAATGCCTGGGACTCACCAGAGCTGTCACCACCGCTGCAGCCACGCGCTTCTCCCTCCAGGCACTGGGGCATCTGCGCAGAGCGGCTGCTAATACTTCCTGCCTTGAACATTCAATTTCACAGGCATGTATGTTCCCATACCCCCCCCCGCCCCCAGATTTCTCTCGCATACCCCCTAAGAGTATGCATACCACAAGTTGAGAAACATGGCTTCAGATAACCCCAAGAAATGTCATGCTGGCTCTCTTTGTATGAATTCCTGGACAATTGGATAATCCTCCACTTGATCTAGTCATACTGCTACTATGGTGGCTGAGCTCCCTTTCTGTGCAAAAGGCAGGGAGGCTACTATGCAGAACTTCCTTTCAGCAGAGTGCCCTGTGTAGCAGAATCAGACTTCAAATTAATATATATTTGTCATTATTACTGCAACAGTAGATTATTTACCTGATAAGCAAGGTTTTCCTTGAAAGTTTTGAAAGTGATATCCAGAGCAAGTTTTAACCATATTTTGTATTCCAACGATGGGCATTCCAAAAACTTATCAAAAGCTTCAAATAAATCATCCATAGAAATAAAACATGTCTGAAATACAATGGCAATAAAATTAATTAATACAACAGCATATCTCTTTCCTTCCACTTACTAAATGATTGAACAAAGAAATCCTATTTTTAATTAGTCAAATCAATTATTCACATTACACTTTAAGGCACGTTCCTAGTGACTTGAATATGTCTTTTAAAGCACCTAGTATACCAATAGTGCTATAAAACTAATTAATACTAATTTACATAATTATAAGTTAACACAATTGTGTATATTAATATGTTAATGCAACCCATTTGAAGGAAAACAATACTTATAATTATTTTATAAAGGCCATGCAGCAATGGATTCCTTATAAATGCATAATATTAACTGAAAGGGGGGGGTGTCTTTTTTTTAGATAAGAACTCTAAGACCGTTCTTGGTCTACTTTGATGGATGATAGCAAGAAATTTCAGCAAAAAAGTGACACCACACCATTTATATTATGATTAGTGTAAGCGAGGTCGGGTAAGCTCTACCCTGACATCTGGTGGTGAACTGTGGCGAGTGGTATAAAGAGGCTTCAGGGGCTGATCCCAATTTGCATAGACACACCCACCCTGTCTAGTATGTGCTCACAGCAGCCCAAATGGTCACTTTGGCCACTGTGGGATCCCCAGTTTCTCTGTTATTGAGGCAGGGGGATGAAAGTGTTGTTACCCTGATTATGCGAATCAAGGACCATGGAATGGTGGAACTGTTTATGACAGAGGGATTTGCCATAAACTAAGTAGCACTCGCTATACAAGGGGCATGAGTTCCAAACCCAATCAAATTGAGAGATGCTGTGGACAGGTTCTTGTACCTGGTGGGGCCCTGTTTGAGGGCCTAAATTGCACCTCCTCCTCTCTCCATTGTGAGTTAATTTGGATTCCATTAGGAGTCTAGTTGGGAGCTGTAGAGTTGATTTCTCTGTGGGCCAGTGGAGCACTAGCACTGAGGCTCCTCTATTATGAGCTGACCTCGCTGAAGAGCTGAAATCACTGTTTGCTGTGGGGAGCCTGGCGCTATGCTGCGGAAGAGCTGAAATCAGTGTTTGCTGTGGGGAGCCTGGCGCTATACTGCGGAAGAGCTGAAATCAGTGTTTGCTGTGGGGAGCCTGGCGCTATGCTGCGGAAGAGCTGAAATCAGTGTTTGCTGTGGGGAGCCTGGCGCTATGCTGCGGAAGAGCTGAAATCAGTGTTTGCTGTGGGGAGCCTGGCGCTATGCTGCGGAAGAGCTGAAATCAGTGTTTGCTGTGGGGAGCCTGGCGCTATGCTGCGGAAGAGCTGAAATCAGTGTTTGCTGTGGGGAGCCTGGCGCTATAGGGGCGTGGACCAAGATGGCTGGTGGAGCCGGACAGTTCGGGCAGCTCACTGGACGGCAGGTGGAGTGTGCTGGAGTGACTCACAGTGGTGGCAGAACCCCACGGAGAGGCGGGGCCATCGGACCACGTAAGGTGTATCGATCCCCGCCCCTCCAGGTTGGGATGGTAAGGTATATCAATCTCCGCCCCTCCAGGTTGGGATGGTAAAACCCTGCTGGGTGAACTTTTGAACCCTAGGGCGGCACTGACCTGGGGCAGAGACTTTTGTGGTGTTGGACTTTGGGACTTTGGGGGATTCGTGGCTGGGGGGAGGGCCTTTGCTCATGTTTGGTCTATGAATCCAAGTTGTGGTGTTTTCCCAAGTTAATGCTGATTATATATTATAATAACCTCATGTTATTAAAGGTTTGCTGCTATACTGAGGCTCTGTGCTTGCGAGAAGGGAAGAATTGCCTCTTTGAGGCACCCAGAGGTGTATGTAAGATTTCACAGGTCACTGGGTGGGGGCTCGAGCCGGTGTTGTATTACCTTGTTGGGAGGAGACCCCTAGATACTGAACCCGGCCCTTGCTGCTATTAACTCGGCCTGGCAGAAGGGTTACATTAGCAATATATGAGGTCAGAAATGTTCTTGACCACTTAGGTTTCAAAGGCCTTCTAATGTTAAACTGAATGTCTTCGTGAAATTTAAAGAGATAGCTACCCGCTTGTGTTTGTGTAATGCCTGGAACAATTGTACCTTGGTGACTAGAAAGGCTGGCTAAGAAATTCCACAACACTGATCAAATGAGACTGGGACTCCTTTTCCATGGCTGATCATTTCCAAGGATTCAGCCATCCTGACAGAGTATTTGGTAAATTATAAACATATTAGTAGTCATAAACCTGGCCTTATAAGAACAAAGAGGCTACCTCAGAGGTATTACAGGCTTCAGAAGCTATTTCTTTCACTTGAGCAATCACAATAAAAATAGCCTTTCTCTGACATAACCTTCAGATCAGAAAATGGAAGTGTAGTGGCGCTGTTAGTATATATTCAATCATAGCCCTGGTCTACACTAGGGAGTTATTTCAAAATAACTCTCTTTATTATATAGTGCCCATGCAATGGATAATATAGGAATTAGGAAATCATAACAATGTAGTCTACCCTAGCAGTTACCTCAAAAGTAGATTTCATATCATCAATCCATCTTGAGGAGGCATACTTTGAATATACAACTACAGGTTGAACGTCCCAAAAATAGGGCACTCTGATTGGGCAAAACTTGTGCTCCGGCAACAATGTTCTTGTTGGACAACAGATGTTATTGGACTGAAGAGCCCTGGAGGTCAGGATTGGGAGCCCTGGCTGGGCTAGCAGCTGTTAGGGAGCCCCAGCCTGGTGAGTTCCAGCCTGGCCCAGCAGAGTAGCCAGTCGTGGTTGGGGGGGATCGGCCTAGTGAGTCCTGGTGGTGGGCGAGGAGGCCTGGCCTTGGGGTATAGCTATGAAAGTGTCTATTAGTGCAAATGATCTAGCTGGCAGCTGCAGATAATAAATATAACTGCTCAGCAAACAAACTACCTGAAATCAAAAAAGTTCAGATTGTGATCCTCCAGAAAGGTGAAAAAAGGAGTCAAACCTAAAAATAAGAGAAACTTAAAAAATAACAAATAGTCTAGCAGCACCTTAAAGACTAACAAAACATGTAGGTGGTATTGTGAGCTTTTGTGGGTATGAAAGCTCACGATCCCATCTACATGTTTTGTTAGTCTTTAAGGTGCTGCTAGACTATTTGTTATTTTTTAAGTTTTTCCAGTTACAGATTAACTTGGCTACTCCTCTGAAGCTTTTAAAAATAAGAGGTTAACCCTAAGTAGGAAAGAAATTGTGTATGTACAGTACTAAAATCTGAAAACAGATACAAAAAGGGTGTTTGTCTTATTGCTAGCATTGTTGTATATTGTGTTAAACAATAGTTCATTAGGCAGAAAAGGATTAACAAGCATTTTGACTGTATTTACAGAAACCAGTGCCTCCAGACAAAGAGGCAGAAGGAATCTCAGAGAGCGAGGCTTGCTGTATTGCTTGGAAAATGTTAACTAATGTAGCTCAAAGCTAGCAATGTGGAGCACCCATGCAAGAGATCGCGTGTATTTTTGTATTTAGATGACATCCTATCTGGAGAAACTGAGGCACGAGTGAAGGAGCTGAAAGAAAAAGTTTTAGCTCTTATTCAAGAAATGGGATTCAAAGCCTAGAAAAGGCACAACTGGTAGAGCCTCAAGTTACATATCTAGA